CCAGCTATGCGGATTCGTCAAATTTTGAATCTCTCCAATTCTGTGAGATACGAATACTGACCATCTTCGAGATGGGGAAGTGATCCAATTTAATGCTATGGTAGAATCCGACCAAAGATAGATTTGCATACCGACTGTGTCAAACGCCGATTGAATTTTATGCCATAACCTTGCCAATAATAGTGCTGCTGAAAGCTCGAGCCGTGGTAGCGAAAGCGCCTTGAGAGGCGCCACGCGCGACTTCGAACACAACAACTCGGTATGGTAAGTACGGTCAGCAATCTCTGATCGCAGGTAAATGCACGCTCCATAAGCCTTCTGGCTCGCGTCGCAAAACCCATGTATCTGCACCGATTTGGGATCGCTTGAAATTTTAACACAGCGGGGAATATTAAGCTGATTGATGCCAGCTAATTGCGACTTGAGCGCCGTCCAACGCTCGTGTAACTCTTGCGGGACTGATTCATCCCAATGAACGCCTAGCTGCCAAAGCTCCTGGAGAATTAGCTTGGCCAAAACAATTACCGGCCCCAGCAGACCAAGAGGGTCAAAAATTCTGGAGGTGTCCGCTAATATTCTTCGCTTAGACGTTATGACGGAAATGTCATCGGGTTCGTAATAGAACCGAAAGGTGTCCTGTGAGTGGATCCAATGAATGCCCAATACAGACGATTCTGGGCCATTATGAATAACAACCGGGTTATCGCACTGATCTTTTACTCCGACCAGCAATTCGGAGCAACTTGATGCCCATTTGCCGAGCTCGAAGGCGCCGGAACGCAATGCTTCGATCGTTTCGTCCCGGATTGCTAATGCTTCGTTGATCGTGTCGGCCCCGGTAAGCATGTCGTCGACGTAAAAGTCGCGTCCGACACACACGGCACCGCGGGGCCAAACAATTGCACAATGCTCGGCCAGCCACTTCAAGCATCGCGTGGCCAAGAACGACGCTGGCGATGTACCATACGTCAAAGTGAGAAGCTCGTATGCCACGACGTTAGAAGTGTACTTGTCGCGCCAGAGAATGCGCTGATAATTAGTTTGCGACGGATGCACCATGACTTGGCGGTACATCTTTACAATGTCGGCCGATAGTGCGAACCGCCATGTTCGGAATCGCACTAAGATAGTGAACAAAT